CTTACAACCGCTCGATCATTTAATCATATCTCGTAAGATGCGCGACATCACAGCCTAGATTCCTCGACGCGCGCAAGCAGAATGCACGCGCGACAGAGGAATCTCGGTGTGATAAACGTGCTGTCTAAAACGATTCCACTTATATAAAAAAAGAAAGAAAGAAAGAACGAAAAATCTCCCAATCCCTCGTTGATGCATGTAAAACCGATCAACTTCCGTGATACCTTCTCGATGCCTCGATCCAATGCAGCTAGCTCGAGCTTGTAATGTGTGAATTAGACGCATTATATCGGACAGTAGTGTTAGCTTTACAAAACGTTTCTTCTCTCCCTTTTTTTCTACGTATAAGTTGACTATAAGTTTTGTAATTTCCAATTTTTCTATTTCTACTTCTATTTATATACTTCTATTTTGTCAGCAGTATTGACTGACATTTTTATCGATTGCTCCTTTGTGCGCTCCCTGATCCTGTCCCTACCTAGGCTACGATGCTGAAGAAGACAAAAGGCAAAATGAAACGGCGCAACACGGAATCTAGTATGCAGTTGGCGCTACAGGCCGCACCGTCAAGTGATCCGGATGAAGATATCTTCTGAGTGAACAAACGTTATGTGAAAGTGATCGAACACGGTGCGGTACGGAATGCAGAGCACGTAGCCATGTAAAGGACTTGATTGATTAGTGCACGTAATAAAATAAAATCGGCCTTGATATCGTCTGACGGCGTTCGCGCTGTACGAACATAAGTACTTACAACGTGAAAAGAAGGACACTCATGGAAGCTACAGGGGACGGATAGATAAGGTTTTCAGACACGGACACACATACAGCATAAAAAAATCCATTATTAACTCAGTGATTCTTAATGTTTGTTCTTACATTAATAGAAAATGAAACTAGATCTCATTTTTAAATGTTAATAATTCTAGCACCGTATGTAGTATTTACCGATCAATATTTTTTTAGTAAAATTATAATAGATTTTAACATATATAAATAACACCTACCACACATACACGTACACATACTTAACCAGAATCGAAAAAAAATTAATGCGTTTACGCGTACTTACGACAATGATTTTTATTTATGTTCCAAGCTGGGTGGTTGAGGAAGAAGGAAAGAGATCGTAATTCGTAATATATATTACGTTTCGTATGGAATTCTGACCGATGTCTTGTTAACAATATATTATATATATATAAATAGAGAGAGAGAGAGAGAGGGGGGGAGGAAAGGAAGGAGGGAGAGAAAGGATATTTATGATTAAATATTAATATATTTACATAATATTGTATTAGTATTACGATATTAAGTTGTGATAATTGTTATGTATGTCTGACTGCTGGGCAGTCTGGAATTCGCTGAAAACCAGTGGCAGTCAGTTTTTTCTAGGATACGGTTCCCAGCCAGAAATAATTAGTCGATCGACATTGATTGACCAATCATTTCTAGTTAGGTTAAGAAGAATGCAAAAAAAAAAAAGAATTAGGTGACTTTCCTAACGATAAGACCGCATTGCGGGCTAAGCGCTTTGTCGATCCGTCTCCGCAGCGAGAAGAAATGAGAAGGTAGCGATTAAAAATCGCGATACACATACATACACACATACATATACAATGTTAGAGAGTTGGATTGGCAATGTATTCACTACTGGCTCTAATAGGCTCTTGTAACGAAAGCTCGACTGTGCCATCGACGACACACATTCCATTGTGAAGTCTTGTGTTCCGATATTGGAAATCGATCTGAGATCTCAGACTGAGAAGGAATTGATCAGTATTGGTCAAAACCGGACCATCACATGATGTGATCGAATTGTTCAAATATGATTTATCAATTCTATTTTTATCCAAGATCTCGGAATGATTTTTTTACCTTTGTGGGCACAAGACTTAACACCAGACAATGAGTCAGTAGGCGGTAATCGAAAGTCTTAATTTAAATAGACAATTACGATTTTTCGCATTTACAATAAATCATTAATTGTAATCGCGAATCGTTTGGCTCGACCAATGGAAAGAAAAAAAATTAAATTTGATTAATTTTAAGAAAATCGGAAGTCTTAATCGTACAAGCTGTGATCAACTTCACTGATAAGACTTAAGACTATCGACTACCAATTCATTGTAAACTTGTACGAAGGACGATAGGTGGACGCAAGGAGATGTATATGTATGAACTATGCCAAAAGAGAGAGAAGAAAAGAAGAGATAGGGCTTGTAACACGTTAAACACGCTGACGTACTTAAAAGATTGTTGGCACGCGTAACGGGCGACGACGAGGGATAGGACCACGCGAATCGGAGGCAATATTGTTTTTTGAGCTTCCAAGGTTTCGATCGTTAGTGCATCGACACACGAAGTAATCGAGTGCTATAATTGATCACCAAGCGATTCGCCGACAAGACGAACGAACAAGATATTACCTGCTCTCGGACGCATGGGCGTACACGTTGGATCTTCGCTGGCATCGTGCGATTTGCGGAAGAAAAAAAGAAAAAGAAAATGTAAAAGACAATTTCACAACTTTGGTGCCAAAAACAAGTGTATATAATATTATAAAAGTAGGGACTATACTTATAAGACGGATTCGCCAGTTAATCGCGATGGCATTTAATGCGACATAAACGACGGGCGTATGAGAAAGTAGTGCGCGTGGCGGAGTACTTTCTTAACATTAAGAATTTTCTTCGGGAAAAAGGGATGGGAACTCTTTTGAATTACACATTGCGTTGTTTCGTGTAAACGTTTAACAAAACAGAAAAAAAAAGAAAAAAAGCGGGGGACAGCGCGTATCTTTGATACGTGGGAAGTAACTGTGGAAGGACGATATAGGACTTCTTAGTACGCTTTTAGTACGCGCTGTGTGAACATAGTTAATTATCTAATTAGACCTCTCTTGTGGATGTCTTCTTATGAAAATGATTATCAAAAAGAGAAAGAAACTAAATAAATGGCAAATTTGAACGGAGGCCGTCATGCCCGGATGATTGATTTGGCCTCCGGTATCACAACCTGCCAATGATGTCGGCTCAATTATTCATGTTATATCCGGTAGCGACGTGGATAATCACATCGACGGCAGATTGGAGAGAAACGTTTGTTAATTTGACCAAACTATAGTATATTTGCTGTTGCTATAAAAATAGAGAAACAATAATAAGCTGTGAACAATCTATCGTATAATAAATCAATGTATGTGCTACAAGCTGTCCTTTATTTGAATTATCCATCCAAAATAAAACATCAACTTAAATATTACATCAATGTTATAATTTTCTATTCGATAACATTAACATGCATACAACATATATGATTTTATTGTTTTTTTTTTTTATGATTTTTATAATTGGACTTTAACTTAAATTCGAATTAATTTAATTATTGCTTGCATCATAATTATTATTTTATATTGTATACATAATTATTGTTTAATTATACTTTTTATATCATTTAACATGAAAAGAAAGAAGAGATTCGTTTACAATGAATTATATAAGTTTGAAATTTTATTGCAAACAATTCTATCAGTGTAAATTAAGTTGACTAACTTAAGTTTCATAACTCATGGTTAGGTTTAAAGTACAACTTGTTTTTCATCTCTTTCCAATTCTAGAATTAAAAAGAGATAATGAATAAGTTGAACCTCGATTAAGAGTTAATCGTGAGTTAATCGTGAAATTGGGCCTAAGGAGTCTATTCTGTAACTCTTAACTGCTATTATAGCGTTATGTTAAGAATTACAGCTTACAAAATAGGTCCCTTAATCTTGATTTAATTTATTCCTTATTTTCTTTTATTCTTAAAAGTAGAAGAAATAAAAGTGAATTAAATCGGTTATCCAGATTAAATTAAAATTCTTCTATATTGTATAAAAATGAACATCTGACAGTTGAGTTATTCATTAAGTTAATCGAAATTTAATCGAAGTTATTTTTAATATTATCATATAATGCGTTCACATAATGTTTTGCTTTACATTAGAGAAAAAAATATTCATTAATATTCATTAATTGATAATTTATTATTATAGTTC